CTATGAGTCTAATATATACGTATTTATACACATTGCAAGTAAATTGCATTCTGTAATGTTTAATTATTATCTTGAATATTTTTTCTTAAAATGTTAATTTTAATAATTTATAAGATACATAGCTAGTGTGAATAACATAGATTTTATTGGACCACGCTTAATTATTAAATTTCAATATATTATCAAAGGTCCTAACCAATAAAGTAGCTTGAATGTTCTAATATTATGAACATAAATTGTTTTTTAAAAGTTTTACAAAATATTAAATAACTATTATTTTCATTGACATTAAATTCATAAATTATTCTACTATTATTTTCTACAAAATAATAGGTATTTTATCTCAGATATTAACCATTTATTTATTAGCTAATATTAAATTAATTATTGGTAATATATTTTCATCGAAGTCATAAATTATTTATAGGTGACAGGAAATATGTATAATTATAAGTATTTATAATCAATGTTAATTTCTATATTGCGTAGTCCTTAATAAGTGAAGAATAATATTATATTTATTCATATTGACAGAAAAATTATTTATATTATGTTATTTATTTTCATCATGGAGAAGATTTAGCTATTCGAGATTTTATTAAAATAAGTTTTATACAATATTTTGATTTTTTATCAGCGTTTTGTTACCTTAGTCAAATCTTCGTTATGTATTTTCTATTACTATTTTCAAACAAGTATTTTTAATCTAGTCAGAACATATATATTGCAATACACTACAGCATGTTTTAAATCACATAAATTAATACAATATTTGTATAATACAATACAATACATATAATATTATACATAAATAATTTATTGACAATAGAAAAATATGTTATCATAATAAAAACAATATAAATTTATGGAATACGTCATAACGTGTAGGTACTCAATAGTCACGTTTCTAATTATTTATCCCACCAAAACAACTATTTTTATTGTCCATTAACATTTAACATTCTCACCTTTAAAGTTTTTAACAGTAAAATACACATTTGTTTTTCCAAGGAGGTAAATCCCAATGACTAAGTACTATAAAGTATATTTCTTAACATTCATAAGTTTTTTTAATACATTAACTATTCATCTTAATAATTTATGTATAACAAAACCACATTTCTATCAAAACTTATTCTAATTTATAGCATTAATTGAAACAAAGAAGACATTTATTTATATTTTATTTTATTTTTGTTAAAAAAACTATCAAAACTTAAAAATTGCATTTTTAAAGTACCTACATTTTTTGATGTTGTAAATATCTCTATTTTTAAATTTGAAGTAATCCGCTGTTAGTATTTTCTTTATATTTTTGGAATCCTTTTTTTACGCTGCAATAGAAATCATTAAAAAATAACATTTTTTAAATTAAAATTTATTTTTCTGTTTTGTATAGTTATAACTTTTGAGTTTATTAAAGAGTATTTAAGTAATAACTTTAAATTCTTAAAACTTATTTCAAAGTTCAAAATTCGATGTATCGTTTTCATATTAGGCACCTACCTATGTAAAAAAAAAAAAATATTTTCGAAAACATAAATACTTTTCCAAAAAATGAATATAAGCTAATTATAGCAATAACCTATAAAAATAACATAACTTTCAAATATATTATTAGGAATAACAATATTTTATAATATCAAATTGTATCAAATTTTCTTAATTTTTATATTTTACGCACAAAATATACCGTATCAAACACAAATTAAAGCTTTTATTTTATGGATACTAACTACCAAGTAGATTATATTAAGATTAAAGTAAAAATTATTACTTATAATATTATTTGTAATTAAACTCAATATGATTATTAACACAATCGAATCTTTTGATAATCATAAAAGTTTTCGATACGTAGTTATACTAAAGCAATTATATTGAAATATTATAATTTTGTTGTATTAATATAATTATTATTAGATATCAATAATATAGAAGACCTTTAAGATTAATCGCAAAATGCGCTATTATAATATCATAATTACGATAACTTTTAACTATATAGTAATGTTAGTTATAAAGACGTTTATTAACTTACTAATAATAATATTAATGAATGTATTATAGTATTATACACCTCCAACTTATAACGCATACCAAAATATCAACAGACAAATTATATAAAATGTTGCATTTAAATTGATTTCTGTTAACTTATGTTTCATGGATTCATACGCCCGAAGAATAGCGATATAAGTTAACAGAATTCTAAAAGACATTTTAAGATATTCTTTTCTAAATCTCATAATATTTTACATTAATATATTAGTTATTAGTTATTGGATACGGGCACAGTCCATCGTGAAGTAAATACATAAATATAAATTATTACAATGCAAATAGCCAGTACAACGTTAATTCAGTGCGGCTGATTCAGAACTAATATGAACGATAATTATTGTAAGCTTAAAGCAAAAAGGTATTGTGATTATCATTAATCATTTTTTTAATGTTCACACAATGTATATGTTTTCAATTAAAAAACATTAAAAGCACTAAATTGACGGCTATGTTTATGTTCATTAGGTACCCTAATCACATCTAAAATTAAGATGGATAGTTTTGCTATACAAACGAATATTATTTATTTTTAAATACGTATATTTAAAAATGTACAATTGATAATTGCTGTTATTTTTTTTTCCTCGTAATATTTCAAATTCCCAGACCCTTAAGTATAGTTTCTAAATAAATAAAAATATTGTTACATTGAGATAGGTTAGGTGTGTATTATCAATTATCTTTCAAAACACAAATAGTTAATAAACTAGTTCATTTTTAACTATAATAAAACAATAAAAATATTTGAACATTTGTCTTTTCTTAAACCATAACATAACTAGAGAAATAATATCTTTTGTGTTGGAAAAAAATTATGTTTTTGTTCAGAAATATTTTTAATTTACTGATATAGTTTATTTACGAATGTATAATAATAATAAAAATAATATAATTCATTGAAATAAATAGGTATGAAATAAGATGTATTCGTGGAATAAACATAACTTTATTTCAGGTAAATAAATTATATTTTTCATAATAATTCTAATAATGTAACTATTCCTATTACTCGAGGTATGTATTTGTACACAATTAGAAAAACTAACAATTCATTTAAATAGAATGTGATATACGTACACTATGCAGTATGTAACGCAACTGTTATGTGATAGGTATATATTTATTTTTCGGAATTTCGACACTCACGTGAATACAATTGTGATAGCAACACGGCATAAGCCCAATATATCATACTAGTAAACAATAACTTTAAAAATAAATCATAGATTATGATTAATGACAATACATTGGCTACAAAAATGTGTGACTAGATTAGTTAAGAATTTTGCGATGCATCCAACGGACCTTTCCTTCACCCATGACCTTTGTCGATCATAAATTACATTGTATAATTTTTCTACGATTGTTGTATTATTTTATTTGACGTACAATCTGTCATTTATTTTTATTAATTATAAAAATATTATTTTAGTGTATGTCTATTACTTATGTTTATTCAAATGGTCAACAAAAATTCTTTATTTCAACAGCGCATTATCTGTTATATTTCTGTACGTAATAATTTATTTTAAAATTAAATTCACACGAAAATTGTATTGAGCTAAAGGATAAAAAATTAAATAAGAAACAAAAAAGAATATATGTACACGGGTGTTTAGAAAAGGACTATATTATGGTGTTAAACATATAAAAAATCAAAGTCAAAAATATTTGTATCTATACGTGATTATTTTTCAAATATCTATAAGTGTATTTATAACAAATGCATGCAAAATATTAAAAAGATTAAGTGTGTGAATAGAACTATAATACTTATTAATTACACTCAATAAAAACAGACAAATTAAACAATAATCATAATATAAGTAAATAAGATTCTATAAACTTATATTATTAATATTTAAAATTTAAATTTAACAATTTTTAATCTATAATTTTACTTAGCTGCATTGTTTGGATAACTAAAAAATACCACTCAAAACGAAATTTTATAAAATCTAAAATAATTAATGATTTTAAAATTATCATGATTTTTTTTTTTTTTTGACACATTTTGAGTTATAGAATTCATGCGAATAAGTATTGTGCGAGATGACTAAATATTATTAAGTATTATTTCCATGGACTATTTCTAATATTTAAATTATAATTATTAAATACTCAAGTACAAAATATAATTTATAGTAGTGCAATATGTAATTTTGGTTTACCAATTTTTTTATATTCTAATAACTATGTATAGTATACAATTTCTTTAAATTATATTTTAAATTAATACGTGTAATTGAAGAATATACAATAAAATGACACTTCAAGTAATAAATAATTTAATATATTTCACATTTTTTAATATAATGTATGATTAAAAGCAAAACATTTAAAATAAATCACTAATCAAAATGTTTATCTATAAAATAGTGTATTATATGGCTTCAACAGAGAGACGTAAGTAAACATAAAGAAAAGCTTAATTTCCTGCAGGTAGGTTAGATTATAATAGGTATAAAATATACATAATATAAATAAAACATTAAAATTCTGTCCACTGTGAAATTAGCATTCTCCGCATAAACTATATAAACCATAACATTATAACTATTTGATTATACTACATTTATACATTATTCTAATCACACATACCGTTTAACGTCAACATCTAAATTTTTTTGATTTACTGTATTTTAGTGAAACAATAACACTATATTACATCATATAGTTTAAAATAATTATTTTTTGATGCATTCATATTATCAGCTCGTGTGTAGAATATTGTCTATTCGAGTCTTACAATGAACTTGACTTTGCATATTGTTATGAAGAAGCGATTTGTTTGATATTAGAATAAGATGTTCTATCTCGGAGCTCCACCTATTTGACATTGAAACCTTGAAATTTCTAATACGTTTTTTACGCTAACCCTTGGCAACTTTTGGTTCAGTCATATTTAATACAACACTGAGTAACATTCGCGAGATAAGCGATTAACGTAATTCACTTTTTTAAAGTGTAGACGTTAATTGAATGATTTTCAATTGGTATTTTTTCGCTGTGATTTTAATTATTAAAAAAAAGCATACTTGAGAAATATTTTGATTTTAAAAAATATAAAATAAATTGTGTACTTGATTGAATAAACGATTTCTTCTTCAAAAGCCACAACTACTTTTGGATATAGTTTTTTGCTGAATGATTAAGAGTTGGTATTCAGTAAGTATTCATTTTTTATATTGTAACACATTTGCTTAATTTTTAAAAACTAAATATTTTTAAAAACATAACATTAAAAATGATAATTTGCAGTTAAAAAAAAAAATATTTTAGTATTTAAACTTGTACTTAGTATCTGAAGAACTTATTATAGTTGTAATAAACGTATATCCTTTAAAATTGTGGAATTTCTATTGTTTAAGTATTTAATTTTGTATATATGGAAATAAGTCAATAAATAATTGTAAATTTAAAAAAAGAATCATATATGAATATCAAAATCTTTTAAGAAACATAAAAAACTGATTTCCTATAAAAATTTTATCTATTTATCAATTTGTTTTTTTTTAATGTTAATTATTTAATAACGTTACATCCACATAAAATAACATTCTTGAAGAGAAATTGTATTAAAAAATTATTGATAAAGTTTTCTGAGATGAATCCTTTTTAAGATACATTAAAGAATATTGGTGATTTTAATATTAAATCAGGTATGAGTTCTTCTTGCTCATATAATATCAGTCAATGTTATGATACATACATGGAAAAAAGTAATAACATTAATTTAGATGAAAACTCGAAATGGGTCCTTTTTGATATTCACAATTCAAATTAAATAATGCTTACTTATAAAGTTATAATGTTTTATGTACAAAATAAATTCACGTACTTATTATACACATTACTATCAATCATCTTATTGTCAACCGTACAACCTGATATTTATAAAATATTTTTACAGTATATTATATATTATACTCTAGCAGATACTGGTTAGGTATTCAGATTAATCAATTTCTTTATCAAAAGGTTAAATAAATTATAGAAAAAATTTCAAAACATTTATCATTTAAGAAACACGTGTTTATATTTATTTTTATTAGCATAATGATTAAAAATACTAAAATTACTTCAACGTAAAGTCAATAATATTAATAAAATTAATTATCAAATTCAATATTTTATAACCAATATGCGTTTAAATTATTATAAAAATTAAAAAAAAAAAAGTAATCAGATAAAATAAATTTCATTCAATATATTCGAAACTATAATTTTTATTAAACAAATAAAAATATAAAAATAAAATGTTTTGAAATTTAAAAAATATCAGCTTGTAACAATTTTAAAAGATAATGAAAAACTGAATTTTCAAAAGTATTTTGTATTCATATTTATTTATTCAATAAGCAAACGTGATGTAAAATATAAAAACGCGGTAATATATTGAGTGACACAATTTCAAAGATTCAGAGAGCGTTAATTTATTTTAAATTTAAATTTAAAAACCAAAAAATAAACTCAACATTTTTTTTTGAATAAAACGATTTACATTTTATAAGCTGGATATAGTTAAAATATTTATACCATCATTGTTCTCAGACGTATGTTTTCTTTATTCCTAAAACAACAACAAATTTAATTTAATTTTTAAAAAATGTAACATAATTATAATTGTAAGAAGTAAATTATTTCGAATTCCTAGTTAAATTTAAAAAAAAAATTCATTATTTCATTAGTTGTATTAATTTTATATAAAACTATAAAATAATCTTTTAAATATTCTAAATAATATATTAAATAGATAAAACATCCAATATTTAAACATTATGTTTAGGCACATGTGAAACTTTTTAATCGAAACTTTTGTTTACATAAAAACAAAACATACATTATTTAAAAATCAATTTATTCTTTACGCAACTTTAATGCTTTACAATGTCAATGAATGATATCTAGCATTGATTTTTTACTTCGTTCACCTTGATTCAGAATAAAAATATGTTATTATTTTAAAACTGAACGTCACACTATCTTGTTTGAAAAAAAACAATTCTGAACCTTAATACTTATAAAGTATAATTTAGGTTGAATGTTTTTTTGAAAATTTTGTAGAAAAAATGTTTGTACAATAAAATGTTTATTATGTATTATTAATTAAAATACTTATAATACTCTACAAATCACTAATAGTATTTTAATACCCCAAAAAGTCTTTTACAACCAAAATGATTGGTTATTTTTCAATTACGCTTAAATTATTGAGAAAATTCAATAAACAGTAGAAAGCTAACGAATATATTTGATATATAACGCTGATCATTAAATCAAGATTATTTATAATTGTATCTCTTACAAAATAATTTTACAAAGATAACTTCAAAATATCAATACATATCTCACTAATTTTAAATCTATATATCTAAGTATATTTGCACGTCAATTGTGTTGCGTAAACACTTAATTTTAAACCATATTTATCCTTACTGTAAAATTAATATAATATGAAATATGAATTATGAATATATATTTCAAACAAATATATAAAGGCCTTAAATTAAAATGTAAACTTCATATACTTTTTATTTTATTTTATTTTATTTTTTTTTTTTTTCATAAATGATTATTTCATGTTTTAAATTGTATATACTATTGTAAACACAGTAACATTATAAAATAAGAATTTTTTAAATGAACTTAGTAATTTGTAATCATTCTAAAGAAATACTTTAAAGCATCATGAATTATCAATGTTCATTATTCACATAGTTATAAAGTATACCTATGATCTATATAGTATAATATACTTAATTCTGATAAAAAATAATCAGTGTATAATGGGAGATAAAATTTAATTTTTTAATTTTATTAAATTAACGAGCGGAATCTTCAGAATGTTTAATGAAGCGTACCTACATATTGTAAAGATTAAATGAAGAATAAATTTACACTTAAATTTTTCTGATATTACTATTTCATAATAATTTATAATATTATTTAAGTATTCAACAAGCAATAATCTATAACAAATTAAGTTTTGTATGTAGAAATAATTTTAATTACGTATCGTGAAACATAATTTTAAAAAATATGTACCTATGTATAATATCATACCTATATTTACTATTTAAGTACTTATTAAATTAAATGCATTTAATGAAGTATTATAAAAAGAAAAGCAATTTCAAAAAATTTTGTTTTTCTAAATTCAAAAGAATAAATATTAAAAACACTCTACGCATTAAATATAATAAAAAAATGTCATGATATTATTGAGCGAAAATCATAAATTCCTAATATAGTGAGTCACATACAATTTTTAGTTCTTACCATTATAATGATTACCTTATACTATTGATATTATTGTGTTCAACAATGATAGTCATTAAATTTAAAATATAGTTAGACACAATATTTTTAAAAATCGCTTGAGTATTTCTTTTTTGGTAACTTTTTTTTATTTCCACTTGTTTAAAAAAAAAAAAAAACAAATCTCGAAAAATACCAAAGAAGTAGTTAATTAAACATATTTGATTTCCATAAACTTTTTATTCAATGGATGAATCTATCCACATATTTTATTAGTCTTAATATAAGAACAACAAACTAAGTTGCAATTTTACCAACTAAAATAAACATAAAATATTTAAGCAATTAAAATTCTTCTCTAATTATTAAATTATTTAAAACAATAAGAATATTAGTTTACAACATAATATGAATTATAAGTAAATAAATCATAATCAGCTAACCTGCCTACATTACATTAATTTTTAAATTAACTTAAAAGCATACCATTTTTAATGATTCCGCAATATTAATTAATTGTTTAGCATTATTATAGTGGTAATCATTATTGTCCTCTATCACGGATAACTAAAACTTAATTGGCTAAGGTAAAATTAGTGCAATAATATGACTATTTCCGTATGATTGAATAACTGAACAACACCACAAAATAATTGTATCTTTCTGATGGTCGTTATCACAACTGCCGAACCATGAAATTATTCCATAAATTATATTTATATATACACTCTGGGTACCTAATATTATGGCGTGGACATTAAATATTATGACAAAAGCGTATAATGTTATTGTTGTGTCATTTAAAACTACAGCACAATATTGCTACAGTTAATATATTGAATTAATTGCTACATTTTTTAGTTATAGATAATAATAATTAATAAACAAACAATAAAGGCATAAAAAATAGTTCGAAAACTTGATCATCGTTTTCAATATTAAAAATACATAAAAAAAAATATTAGGTTTTATATAATATTATGTAAAAAGTACGTGATTAGGTACCTTAATCATTGAAGTAATAAATGATAGAAATAATTTTATAAAGTTTAACAAAATAATATATAAAAGTTGTACTTTTCTTCATATCCATTAAATACTACGATAATATACAACTTTTGTAACAATGAAATCTAAAATAATATAGATATAAAGATATCTATACTTAATTTTTTTTTTTTTTTCATTAAAAAAGATAATTTACAATTTGTACACAATAATTATAATAAGCAAATTTGATATATATATAGAATAAAATGACATGAGTTACCTAATTTATAATAATATACGTGAAAGTAATAAATTACCATTTTTATTCCTTTTCAATGCATTTTAAACTGAATTTTTAAGGGTTTTAAATGCATTTTTTTAAGAATGTGTTGAACATTCAATTCACAACATTAAATGGGATAACATTGAATTGAGTGCCGCAAATACTTTTGAGTTATCGTAGTTAGGTTCAACCAATATCGTTAGGTTATTCGAGTTGAATCCCTTTCTTTAATTGTAATAATAAGTATAGAGTCAATTAATTAAAATATATTAAAAATAATAATAAATAAATGTACTTTTTACCTAAAGAATAATTTTTTTAGCGATAGTTACAATATAAATACTAAAAAAAATTGAAAATTTGTCATACATATAAATATTTCAAAAAGAGTTGAAATTTGTTGAAAATGTTATCATAATATACATATTGAAAATAATAATTTGGAAATTTCAAGTACATACTTATCTTATTATTTTTGGAAATATAACAAAATATTAAAAATTGTTTGAGAAGAAATAATTATTTTACGGGTGAATATCTAAACATTAACTTCATTTTTCATTCGTAATAATTTGATAATTAATTAAGTATTGACTAATTGTGTGTCACCGGCTATATAGGTAGTTATAAAATT